GAAAATTATTAGTACCTTTTCCATTTTTCTAGATATTTTTCTTACAGTGTACTAACTGATCAACAATCACAGGTACAAGCTACTAATGAGGTGTATCATAAATGAACAATTATTAAATTATTATTATCAAAATGAACAATTGCAAATAGCAGTAACTTAATTCAGGTGATGTGTGTACTGCTAGGCATCTTTGGTTTCCTCTTTTTGTGTAATTTAGATGGAAAATGTGTGCCTTTTTATTGTTTGAGACACTTATCAAAAGTTGCTAAAAGTAGCCAAATCAAATTTAAAAATAGCTACATTTGTTGCTAGGTGCTTTTGGAAGAAAAAGTTGCTAGGGTAGTCTGAAAAGTTGCTAAATTTAGCAACAAAATTGCTAAGTTGGCAACACTGCACTGTACACAATCATTTTAACGTTTTTTTTTCTTAATATTCATTTATATTTTATTCTAGTTCATAAATATATTCCTAAACCCTGTCGTTTGCATGCATTTTTGCATGGTTTGAATATTAAAACAGCACTTTTTACTCAACAATAGCATAATGATTATGGGTTTGACCAGGTTTGCAGCTTTTAAAAATTGAAGTTGCTCTCAAATAATAGCCATCTTATACCAAAAAGCAGTCTCAGACCGTGTTATTTGCTTGTTATTCTAAATTATTTGCATTTACTACTACTTGTTTCAGTTTTTATAACTATTTCTTACTATGTGTAAGTAAGTTGTTGATTTTTAGCATGTGTGTTTGGCAGTGTTATTTTTTAGGATTACTGAAACTACTGTCATTTGATTTATATTATTTGTATTTGTTATTTATTTTAATTATAGTTACATTATGTCTGAATTTATTATGTCTGTATAAGTTTTTAGTTTTATTTAATTTGAGTTATTTTAATACTTCAACAAACTAAATGGAAATGAAATAATATATATATTGAATTTATTAATGTGTATGTACACATACAGTATATATTTATGTGTGTGTGGTTGTACATACACATATGTAGTTGGTTTTTTGGTGTTAGAATCATTATACCTTTTGTTCTTTACTATTTTGAATTGTTTTTAGCTTTATTTTTTTGTTTTTCATTTAAATGTTGTTTTTAAATTTTGTTGTATGTCATTTTTATTTAATCTCTTTATTTTTAAAATGTGTATAGGTAGTGTTTATAAAGTTTTAGCTTTTAGTTAGTTTTGGATCTCTTCATTTTTTTTTTTTTACCAGTATGGTATATGTATGATGATTATGAGTTAGTATTTGCATGCATTACATTTTTTAAAATAGCACAATTAGCACACCATTAACAAATGGTTTCTGGTTTGTCTGAAGACCACATTTGCAGTTCCTGAATACCAAATGAACATTTTTCTCAGCACTATTTTAGCAATATTATCTCAAACCCTATCTTTTTGCACGTGATACCTAATTTGCATGCATTAGGATATCAGTACAACAATAAAGTCGTAATTGGCTTGTATGAGAAGCTAAATAACCGTCCAGTATATTAACACAAACCTTTTTATATGCATGCAGCATCCTATTATTTGCATGCAAGAATTGCTCTATTAATAATTGCGCAATGTCTTTAGTTTGTATGAAGACTAAGTTTAGAAAGTCCCATAAGAGGACTGAAATGTTTACTGTGATGGTTAGTAATTAAATGGCGTTGTGCCCTAATGGAGTCTTTTAATTTCTGTGGTTTGGCACGCTCCCTTACAGCCCGTGGTATTGCATGCTGTGTGCCATTAATCATACAGTACTGCCCTGCACTGTTCACTGTTTATTGCACAGTGCTGTATTGAAACATTTTGTAAAGTAAATAAATAAAAATAAAATCTCTCCTAATCAGACTATGTATAATAGAATAAAGCAGTACTTCGGGTGGGTGCAATGTTAAGCAGTGATGACACAGGAACTGTCGAAATGAGTCATCCTGCTTAATGTTTTGCCCTTGACTGAAGCACTTAACCTTGTGCTGCTCCAGGGAATAAATTAAAATGAATTCAAATTCATATTTATCTTGTAGGTCATTGACTGCCTTTACAGTATCAAACATAATGGATTGTAATATTTCTACTCCTCTGAGAATATTGATATAGCGTTGACACCCTTGAAAAGGGTTTTAAATAAGTTAACCCAAATTTTGTTTGAATAAATATGGGTCTTGAATATCTTATTTCTCTTGAATAACTCAGAAGTAGTTTTCAGCATGAACATTGACAAATAATTTGGTACTGCCTTCATAAGTCGCTTTGTATAAAAGCGTCTGCTAAATGACTAAATGTAAATGTAAATAAACAGTTATTACAGTACAATTTGTGAAATTATGTTTTTGTTATATTTATTAATGTGTTTTATTGTTATGCATACTATTCATAAGCAAAATTTCTTACAGTTGAAGTACTAATACCAGTGTTGTACAATTAGGCCATCTGCATTATTAAATGTAAACATAATATGGTGAATATTAAAGGGGTAATTTTAAATTTTTTAATCATGGTACATGACTAGAGGAAAAGGGCTGTAATGAAAAAACTTCATTACCCATAATGCACTGGGTTCGATCAGACTATCCATTAATCAGGGATACAAAAATGTGAAAGTACAATCTGTAGTTTTCATAAAAGTTGTAAAACTTGTAATACGGCAGAGCTTTGCTGACAAATAAATAGTGTTTTATTTTTATTTTTTTGGTGCAGGCAACACATAAAAACTATACACAATGTTTGTTTACTTATACTACCGACATTGTAACAATACAAAGCTGCTTGAAAATCAGTGAATGGATGAATCCTTTAATGGATTAATTTCTTATTTGCAGGTCTTTCCATGAGAAATGCTCAGGAGGAGGAGCCTCCAGACCCACAGCTCGTGCGATTGGACAACATGCTGCTGGCCGAAGGTGTGGCCGGTCCAGAGAAGGGGGGCGGAGCCGCCGCCGCGGTCTCTGCCGCGACCAGCTCTGGCGGGATGTCACCTGACAGCTCACTGGAGCACTCCGACTATAAAAGCAAGTTGAGCCAAATTCGGAACATTTACCACACAGAGATGGAAAAATACGAACAGGTACATATCGCTGCCATTGTGCTGGGAAGCCACGCCCACAGCAAAATCTCATTGGTCATTTTTTTCACGTAAAAAAGTCAAAGTAAAAATAAAAAGTTTAATGAGTTAAAAAGAAATGAACCAATCAACCAGCTGCGAGGCGAATCTAGTTTTTCATCAGGAATTCCGATTAAAAAATTCGTTGAATCAACGAAAGCGTATTCCAATGATTAATAGTCTCTTAGTTCACAGTAGGTCTCACTTTAATGGTTCGTAAGTTATTGTTCAAAATCAGTTGTTCTATGGAGAAAATGAATGAGATTCTTACTTCTGGAACCTGACTGTTGCACTCTATTGAGCTTGAAATACATCTTGATCTGTTGTTTGCACAGCATTTTTCTTTGAGTGAGGACAAAAATGTATGTCTAACATAGGAAGACACAGGTTCTGAGTGTCCTCAGACAGAAAGGAACTGCTTTCTAACCTCGTTGCTGTTTCCAGGCCTGCAGTGAGTTCACTACCCATGTTATGAACCTGCTGAGGGAGCAGTCTCGCACCCGGCCCGTGTCTCCGCGTGAGATCGAGCGCATGGTGGCCATCATCCACCGCAAGTTCAGCTCCATTCAGACGCAGCTCAAACAGAGTACCTGTGAAGCGGTCATGATACTGCGCTCACGCTTTCTGGATGCCAGGTGGGATTAAAACGCGTTTTGTGATATTACATCTTTGCTTTAGTGCACTAGTGCATAATTGTTTATGCAATTTATGAAATTATATTTGAGTTAATTTAGACGTAATGCACGTTTTTATAGAGTTACTTCCTTGCGTTGACAATTTAAATGCGCTGCATTATTTTGCTCATTGCGCCCTCCTGTGGCCTCGGGAGACAATTAGACCTATACAATAAAGACCTATTTAATCTGCATATAAAACATTAGAAATTAGATATTTGTTTAATTTTTATTGTGTTTAATTGTTAAAACAAAAAATATTTGTTGTCTGTCTCAATAAATTGTGTCAATTATAAATACAGTGGTTAAATTTACAAAAAAAAATTCTATTGTTCTATAGGTTATAAAAAGTCAATAATTATCGATACCGAACGATATGAAACATTATATTGTTGATAAAGTTTTTAGCTATATCGCCCAGCCCTAGTTCATGCTTAAAACAAGAACAAATATATGTCAATTTTCCTTTGAATTAGATAGATTTTACTGAGCCCATTGGCAGATATTTGTTCGTGTTTTAGTCATAAACTCACTTAATTTTGATCAGTTTCACAGAAAACAAGACTCCTTATGTTATGTCGTTTTTCTTCTCAAGTAAATGTATCTTGATTTAAAAATCTCTAGACATTTGCACTTGAAAACAAGACAAAAATACTGGGGGAAAAGAGCATTTTTTTGCAGCCTGATCTGAAAGTACAGTATTCTATTTCCATATTCTAATCCTTAACATTTTTCATTTTTGATAAACGAATTAAAAAGAGATCAGTTGGGGTTGTATTTTCACATTTTGAAGCGGTGCTAATACAACATATTGACAGAACGTACATATTGTGTTCCCTTCAATTTATTCCTTAATTTTTCTTTCCTTGGTCTTAAAAGGGTCTTTAAAAAGTCTTAAATTTACTTTCATAACACCTGCAGAAACCCTGTTTGTTCTTCATGCAGAAGCTGATTGCAAATTTTATTTTTGACTATGACATTTTCTTGCTTTGTCAGGCGTAAACGGCGTAATTTTAGTAAACAGGCCACAGAGGTCCTGAACGAGTATTTCTACTCGCATCTCTCGAACCCTTACCCGAGCGAGGAGGCCAAAGAAGAGCTGGCCAAGCAGTGCAGTATCACTATGTCTCAGGTGTGAGCTCCTCTATCAGATCTATTTTCTCTATCTAATAGGCTTGTTTTCTTTTGATCATTTGAAAGGAGCCTGGCTCTCAGTCCACTAAGGGAGCGTCCGGTCCTCAGAGACGGATCAGTTTCATTTTGGCTCTGAAATCATGACAGGTGTCCAACTGGTTTGGCAACAAGAGGATTCGCTATAAGAAGAACATTGGGAAGTTCCAGGAAGAGGCCAATCTGTATGCCATGAAGACGGCCTTAGGGGCGACACAGAGCGAGGAATCACCCCACACTCCAAACTCCACTGGTTAGTTCAAGTCTTTAGCTCTAACAGGGCATTTTCACACTAGTTTTGGAGATTTGAAATAGTCATGAGCGGTATATATAATACATATTAAGAAACGGCAACATTTACCTACATATAGTTTGCTGCAGCGGAGATAATGCAAACAAATCTCTTGAATCAGAGATCTGAATTGAATCATTGAATTTGATTCACGGAGGTGAAGCGGTCAAATCAAATGAAACCAGTATTGTGCAAAAACGATTTCAGGGATAAAGTGATTAAATATGTTTGAAAGCAATAACTATATATTTAGATGTTTAACAATATAATACAATGTTATAAATATATTACTGTTCAAAAGTTTAGGGTCTGTACATAATTGTAAATTTGTAAATCTCTAATGCTTACCAAAGCTGAATTTATGTGATCAAAAATACTGAAAACATTATGAAATATTATTACAATTTAAAAGAACTGTTTTCTATTTGAATATATTTTAAAATGTAATTTATTCCTGTGATGCAAAGCTGAATTTTCAGCATCATTACTCCAGTCTTCAGTGTCACATGATCCTTCAGATTTGTTCAGATAGTTTTTTCAGGGGTGAGTCTAGAGCATTTTAAATGGGGTGGCCAGGCTGGGGCACTGCCTCAAAATAGGGTTATAAACGAGGCATTTGTTGCATCCAGTGGGGACATAATTACGGATTATAATGACTTATACTGTCTTTTTACGCGTTGCATCACGCCGCGTAAACATAAAACCATGTCTGCATTTGTGATCGGAGAAATGACAAACAACAAGCGCTACTCTACACTGCTCAAAACTCGCGTTTGAATCGTCAGTGGCAAATTCTTTAAATATAAAAACCATACTTACAGTCTGTGAGTCAGAACAGCATTGTAGTCTACTCTCCCAGGATCAGGAAACAGTCCTCCATAAAATGCGCAGCACTCATCTGAATATTTGGGTTGTAGTGTTCTGGAGCAGTGTTGTAAATACAACTTAACCACTGATTTCTAGTCGTGTCCTCTTTTGGAAGACCAAACAAAGGAGTTTCGCTTTCACAACGAAACACAGCGTCTTCACGACATGGCGGCGGCAACAATACTACAGCGAGAATAAAAGTTACGCCTTCTTTCTTTGCGTGAACATCTGGGCGGCGTTATGCAAATCTTCCCACATCGTGACGTAGACATGTGGGGGCGTGTTAGAACGAGCCGTTTTAGGTAGGCGTGGTTGACTCTTAACTTTTATAAAGAATATCTCTTTGGATTTTGCAACTTTACAGATCTTCTGTATGCACCAAGAGCTTGTAACACTCCAAAGAGAAAGGAAAACTTGAAATCACATCATATGACCCCTTTAATTTATGCAATGGTGAAAACAATTGCAAAATAGGCCTACATGGGGGTGGGGGATGCGAAAAACCGTGTTTGGTGTTCGGTAGTCGACCTTCGGCCCAGTGTTTCATTTTGTTTGGCTTCGGCCAAGAATTTTCATTTCGGTGCATCCCTAAACTCTTTATATCTCTCAGAAAGATACAGCGCCGAGTTCAAACAGAAGATACTAGAAATGAATGAACATACCATTTCGTAACATTTGAATTTTCCGGTGTAATGCAATCTCATGCAGAATACAGCGCAGTGAAGTGAGCGAGTTTGTTCTCATTAATAATGCGGCCCGAGCCGCTAATAATGAACCGTCGCTCCGAGACCGTTATTGCGACTTTGTGCGACCCACAGTTTGAAAACTCCTGCTCTAGTAAAAGGCATGGTAGTAATGTGTTACAAAGTTTTTCATATATGACTGAGTCTCGTACCTCTCATTCTTCCAGGCTCAGGATCGTTCTCGCTGTCAGGGTCAGCCGACTGCTTCCTAGGAGTTCCTCCAATGGACGGAGAGCAGCCTCCCTATCACATGGGGGCTCAGGTATGACTCGGTCAGCATTCCTGCGGCCCGCTGCATGTCATCATCTCTGTGCATGAGTTTGGATCTCAGTGGTGAATGATGTGCTTTTGTGTGTTGTTTGTTTGCCGTGCAGCTCTGCCTAAATGTCCTTTTCCTCTCTCTCTCTGTTAGGACGCTCAATCTCGCTTCTCAGAAAGACTCTATAGTACCAGAGAGAGGAGCTCATCACATGCATGCTTGTGTTTGCCGTCTATTAGTCTCGCTTTTTAAATGACTTTCGCTGAGATCTTTACTCAGTTATGCTTGTTTTGCAAGGATTCACATGCTCTGCTGATTATAATTAAGGCCTATTCATATCAAGAGCGATGTGTGAAGTGGCACATGAATTTTTTATGAGAAACATTCACACAAGGTGAATTGCACATATGTGGTCTTACATACAAAATATAACCTATCTAAGCTCTTTGAGTGAAAGTGTTCAGAAAAATACTGTTTAAATGAAATTAAAACTTTAAATCTGCTAATACAAATTTCACATAAAATAAGATAGTGGTCTATTATTAGTATTAAATATAGTAAATAAGGTGCTGTGTAAATGTTTAAAATAATTATATTTATTATCTAATAATACAGATTTCACTTCAATTAAGTGCGAGATATGATATTAATAAATAGTAATAAATAAATAAAAAAATTAAAAGTACTGTATAAATGTTTAAATTATTATTATAAAATGTGTATTGTTGTTAAAAATGTAAATTATCCCAATTCATATTATTATTAGATTTCACTTGCTTTAAATAAGTGTAAAATAGCAATATATTGGTATAATGATATTGGTAGTAAAAATATTTGTAATAAAAATATAGTGTGGAATAAATGTTGAAATGATAGTTTTTTTTTGTATATTTATAGTATATTTCACTTGCATTAAACAGGAATATATCTTGATAGAATGATAATAGTGTTCTTTTGTTAGCAATAAAAAAAATTATCATTTTACAAAATAGCTTTTGTTTATTAAAAAAAGAAAGCATTGCATTTACAATATGGCTTCTGCAGTGAAATCACTAAAAATATGTCAATATAAAAGGTGAATGCTTCTGCGTTACTTTTAAAGGGGTCATATGATGCTTTTTTTAAAGATCATTAGTTTGTGTATTTGGTGTAACAGAATATGTTGACATGCTTTAATGTTCAAAAAACACATTATTTTTCAAATACTGTACATTATTGTAGGTCCTCTATGCCCCGCCTCTCTCAAACGCTTAGTTTTCTACAAAGTCCCTCCTTCCGACAAGCGCAGTCTGCTCTGATTGGCCAGCTGACCCAGTGCATTGTGATTGGCCGAACACTGCAAGCACTCGTCAGAAATGTAACGCCCCTTACCATAATCGCGAGCTTCATCTTTCAAAATAAGTGTAAAGACAGTAAATAATGTAATTAGTTTTACCATCAGTTCAAGCCTGAAAGGGGAACAGAGTCGCGTGCCAGACACAGTGATGAAGCTGGTATGTGTTTGCAGTACACAAGCCACGGTTAAGACAGCTGACTCCACTGTGATGTGACCCTATCTATCTCTCTCTCACACACACACATTTGAACATTCAATAGCAAATACTTAAACTAATAACAAAACAGAAGCACCAGATTATCATAGCAAAGTCAGAATGACCTCCTCTCCTAGGTTCACGAAACGGTCGTCCATAAAATACATTGCTGTTCTGTTGTAAGTAATCTTAAAGATTCCTAAATGCATCTACTTTCGGAAGGCCAAATAAAGTGCTTTTGCTTTCGTCTAGAAACACACAGCGTCTCCCTGACATGCTGCTTCAACACTAACTGCGGTTACTGAAACCACGCCTTCTTTCTTTGCGTGCACATTTGGGCGGCATTATGCAAATATTTCCACATAGTGAGGTAGATATGTGGGGGCGTGTTAGAACGAGCCGTTTTAGGGAGGCGTGGCAGAGTCTTAACTTTGATAAAGAATATCTCTTTGGTTTTGAGACTTTAGTCTTTGCAACTTCAGGGATCTTATCTATGCACAATCAGCTTGTAACACTCCAAAGAGAAAGGAAAAATGTAAATTGCATCAGACCCCTTTAAGTACAATGTGAACAACATGGCAAAATCCACTACAAACAGCAAAATGTGAAAATGTTCTCCCTCATGTTGATCCAAACTATAACTTTAAGCCAGATCGTTGTAAATAACATCTTCAGCATAATACGATTTTTTTTCACTCACTGTGAATAGGCCTTAAATTCTGTCGTGTATGCTAGTATTTTGTTTAGAGATTTCTGTATAGGACGACTTGTGTTTTTCTGGTTTTAACAGCAGTTTTCTTTGTCTGCAGACTAATGGTAGCTGGCAGGAGCAGAACACGCCACCCTCCGCCGCTTCACCCGGCAGCGATCACTCCGACAACTCGGACTGATGAGCTCCTTCCGCTGGCGTCCCGCTCCGATACCGGAGGACACACCAAATGACGAAAGAATGATGGTCACTCTTCTACCCAAATGCAGTTTTAGTTTTGTTTTTAAGAAGCTCATTATCAGACTTGACATGAAACACGAGCAGAGATTTTCCGTCTAAACCATTCATAAAGCTGTTCTAATGACAATTGTCGTATTCCATTCAATACGGTAATTTACCTAAGAATGGGTCTCATTCATGAAGCATGATGTAAATTGTTTGTAAAATCTTAATTTTTTTTGCATTCAGTTCACGCCACCCTCCGCCACTTCACCCGGCAGCGATCACTCCGACAACTCGGACTGATGAGCTCCTTCCGCTGGCGTCCCGCTCCGATACCGGAGGACACACCAAATGACGAAAGAATGATGGTCACTCTTCTACCCAAATGCAGTTTTAGTTTTGTTTTTAAGAAGCTCATTATCAGACTTGACATGAAACACGAGCAGAGATTTTCCGTCTAAACCGTTCATAAAGCTGTTCTAATGACAATTGTCGTATTCCATTCAATACGGTAATTTACCTAAGAATGGGTCTCATTCATGAAGCATGATGTAAATTGTTTGTAAAATCTTAATTTTTTTTGCATTCAGTGTGCGAGCAGAACAGATTTCTGACAAAATGTCACACACATATATATACATACATATATACAGTATATATATATATACAGTATATATATATATATACTGTATATATATTTATATTTATATGTGTGTGTGTGTAAAACTAATTTACATACAATTTTGTTACAGTTTATGCATATGCATACATATGTGCATGTGTGAGAATGTGTGTGTGTGTATGTATATGTATTTATATATATATATATGTATATGTATATGGATATACATATATATATATATATATACACACACACACACACACATACACATATATATGGTGTTAGTAAAAGAAATGCTAGCTAAGATGCTAATTTACATAAAAAAAGTTTTAGTTTTGCAAACAATTTATGCATTTGTTGAGTCGTTTGTTTCATGAATAAGGCCCTTTTCTCCATTTGGATGAATGAGTGTGTTTGTGTGAGAGAAGAGTTGGATGAGTTCATGGCGTTTAGTTGCCGTCATGTATTTTATTTTAGTTTTATTTTCACTTTTCCACTACATTACAACTTCCACTGTTTCTTACTGCAATATCTGGGTGTTGAAAGAGGAACCTTTTAAACTGCATTAAGACTGCTTTCATTATAGTTATTATATTATTGTTATCACTGCTCTATATTGTTTATTCAAAGCTCAGATAGAATTGGCTTGGGTGACGGGGGCAATAGAGAAAAATCCAAAGATAGTTTTTTTTTCGTGTGTGTGTGCGTTTCTCTTTTTTACTGGGTTTGTGTATGTATCAGTTATATGAATGAGGTGTGTTTGCTGTCTTTATTTACTGTTTGAATGAGTATATCAACAGTGCTGTCTTTTCTCTGTACAGTGAAACACCTGTATTCTCTACCTCTTTTACAATAAAGACTGTCTGTGTACACATTCATCATTTGCGCTTAAATATTGTTTACTTGGTTCTCATAATATGGCACTTGCAGCCTATTTTACTTTAGTAATCTGATTAATTTCCCAGGGAAATGTTATTTGTTAATATTTTACTGAATGGTATGTCTGTCAAGTCAGACTATGGAAGTAGCGTCTAAAAAAGCGTTTTCTTTAGGTGTAATACTTTTTTGTGGAAAACATTAATGAATGTTTGAAACCTCAACTTAAATTGAGAGCAGATGGCAAGAACAAGCAATTCAACGCAATGAAATTAGTGCCCATTTTTAAAGATTTGATGATTATATTATATATTATAATTTTTTTTACATGAAAGCCTATTTTTGCATCAAGGTTTCATTATGATACTGTAATATAAATATTATGATGCCATTATTTTCATGAAAACTTCCTATTACTGTAGTGCAAAAAAAATCTAATTCTCAACTCTCCAAATAAAAAAAATAAGGACCTCATTTTTTTCCTTACAGAAAATTAAGCTGATTTTTTATTTACGATTTTATGATACATGATATCATATTATATAATATATATTACAGAAAAACCTTTTTTTGCGTCAAGGTTTCATTATATTGTAATACAAATATTATATGATGTCACTATTTTCATGAAAATGTCCTATTAGTGTAGTTCAAAAAATCGAATTCTCACTGCTGTAGTGATAAGATTTTTTTATTTGTATATTTTGTGTTGTATTAGAGTAAAGTAAACCCTAAATTACAATAAAGCAAAACATCCAAACATATAACACTTATGAGGGAATAAGTAAGGAGAAAAATATGCTTTATTGTCCTGAAAATAATGTCAAAATGCAAAAAGAATTTCTAAAAAATAGTTCTAAATAGACTTTATTTTCTTCATGCAAATTTGAATTGCTTTTGGGGTGAGGACAAGTTTTCCTGAGATTCTGCCAATAATATTAGATTATTTTAATAGTCAATAGAGAAATTGTAAACCACAGTTTTATGCATTTTCGAGTTGTCTGATTTCTTTTCTCTGTATCTTCTCTCACATGCTGCTTTGGATGATGACGGGAAGCTCATTACTGACCCTCTCACTCATTTTGGAGTTGCAGTTCCTCATACTTTCCATCTGAGCTGCGCTGAGGCTGTTCCCTGTGGTTTTGCTCTCTGACTGGCTGACCGCTTCTCTCGGGTGTGGCACGATCACTATTTCTACATGCTCATTGGCTATTTTTTCAGCTGGCACAGCTACGGACAGCTCTGATTGGTTGCCACTGGAGCGACGGTTCAGTGCATGCTGGGTACAGGAGAACGAGCGCTGTCGAGGTGCGGGTTGTGGAGACAGGTAGTGAGGCGTTGCCGCTCGAGTAACGTCCTGGGTCATCTCCCTCTCCTCGTCCTCCGCTTCTGACGTCACTTCCTGGAGAGTGCTGATAGGCCGAGATGGGTGGCCAAGAATCCTGGGGCTGACCAATGCCGTTGCTGATTGGTTGGGGGCTGGACGCCAGTTCTGGGGGGAGGAGCATTGCGTTCTTCCCATCTGCCAATCACTGTTGAGAACAAAACATGAGAACATGCTTGTAAAATTGTATATGCAACTGGAAGGAACAGCTGCAGAGCTGACTTACATAGGCGGAGGTGTTGACATCCCTCTGTGACTGATGACCCCCGAAAACGAGGCACTTCTTCCGGGCAGACATGGAGGTGAAGCGACCCAAGGAGAATAGATGTACGTGCGATCGTCCCAGAGCACCTCAGTGGCGGGATCTAGAGGAACTGGCACCTTGTGAACTCTGTGAGCCAATAGGAGCTCGAGGACCTGATGATGTAATCCCTCTCGAGCCACATCCAGTGGTCGCCGCCCCTTGCAGTCAGAGAGATCTTGATTGGCCCCGTTGAGCAGCAGAAATCGTGTGGTGTCATAGCAACCGTGGAGAGCCGAGAGAAACAAAGCCGTTTCACCCTATCGAAAAAAATTGAATTTTATTCCATTATTATTGGTGGATTATGATAATTCATTCATCAATCTATTGTTCATTCTCTCTATCATTCAATCTACATATAAATCATTCAACCGTTTGTTCTATCTATCTATCTATCTATCTATCTATCTATCTATCTATCTATCTATCTATCTGGATTTTCAATGCTTTAGCTCTTTTCTTTTTCTATTTTTCTATTTTGTGAAGCTCAACAATCTTGTTCTGCACATCATAACTATATTCTTTGGTTTTACTTGTGATGGACGATTAAGGGAACTTGTCCTTTGTGTTCCTCATATTTACAATGCTGTGGATCAGGACGTCATGGCTGGACAATTTCATGCTCTTAGTGAGTCACCCTGGTGTGCTAAAAAATGTAAATATGAATGGGAATATACTCTATCTATCTATCTATCTATCTATCTATCTATCTATCTATCTATCTATCTATCTATCTATCTATCTATCTATCTATCTATCTATCTATCTATCTATCTATCTATCTATCTACCTACAGTGCCCTGATGGTGGATTTTCAATGCTTTAGCTCTTTTCTTACAGCCACTTTCTATTTTGTGAAGCTCAACAATCTTGTTCTGCACATCATAACTATATTCTTTGGTTTTACTTGTGATGGACGATTAAGGGAACTTGTCCTTTGTGTTCCTCATATTTACAATGCTGTGGATCAGGACGTCATGGCTGGACAATTTCATGCTCTTAGTGAGTCACCCTGGTGTGCTAAAAAATGTAAATATGAATGGGAATATACTTCAGAGATATTTTACTCATAAGAATTTCTAGGGGTGCCAATAATTGTGGCCAGCATGCCTTGGAGAAAAACATTTATTTCATCATAACATTTTCTCCCCACTTTCAATTGTCTTACTTCAATGAAAGGTTAGAATTTTTTGAATGAAAGATCAAAAAGATCAACGATGCAGATTTATTTTTGCTCATATTTACCAAGGGTGCATCTATCCATCCATCCGTCCATCCATCTACCGCAAATTCTGAATGGCGCGTAACCCTGATTTATTTGATTGATTATACAAAAAGGTGACTTTTTCTTTACCTTATGGTCCTGTAAGTCCACTGCAGCACCGTAGCGAATGAGAGTCCGTGCCAATGGGAGGTGGTTTACTGAGCATGCCCAGTGGAGGGCAGATCTCCCTGGATGAAGTGAACGGGAGAGAGAGAGAGAGAGAGAGAGAGAGAAGAGATGCAAGAAGGAATTGACAACAAACAGGGCAAGGGTGATCAGGAAATGGCGTGTTGTGGCACACAGAGGGGCCAGAAAGTAGTGGACGAAGCCAAAAAAAATGAGTGTTATGAGAAGGGAAAACAGGAAGCGAACATTCGAGACAATAGAAGAGGGACAATTTTGAGAGAGAGAGAAACAGAGGCATGGAAGGTTAACACATTATTCCCACATTGACCCGGCGCTACAGCACATTAACTGTGTTCTGAATCAGACGTGTTTATCAGGGGTGCTGGAGTGATGTGAGGGAAGCAGGAGGAGACGGAGGACGGCAGTGGGGAGTTCAGGACAGGACAGAGACAGTGACAAAGACAAAACCAGAAAGGGCAAAACACATTACTCCCCAACTGCAAAGGAAACAAAAACTATTCCTGTAATGTATTCTTGAAGACCACATTGATTGAAGGGACTCGTTCCACATGCAAGGGTTAATGGTGCTCTTACCCGTGTGGTCGGTGTTGTTGACTGGCACTCCGGCTCTCAGGAGCTCCAGAACCACTCGGTCAAGCCCGCTTCTGACA